ATCTCTAATATTTTCAAAATTTATTATCTACGTGAAATCAGCAAAAATTGCAAAAACCACAAAATTAAAATTTCCAAATTCGAAAATACTGCAATAATAATGAATAATTTAACAATTGAACCTCGTATGCAATATTGGATTAATAGAGTACCGTATTAGTACACAATTCAGTATAAGAATTGTATTAATTAAATTGTGCATTAACACAATTTTTTTTAATATTATGCATAATAATTAATGAGAACTCAAAATACAATCCTTAGCTGGATTTATAAAGACAAGATTTGTAAGAATTTTTTTTTTTAACAAAATCCAATGTCTGTTTACATACACAAAATATAATCTTCATTATTGTTAAATTGATCAAATAAAATTTTTTATTGCCAATTTCTACTAATTAAAAATTTTTTCAACAAGTAAGTAAAAAATATATAGAAAAAAGAAAACGGAATAAAATTCAAAACCTTTAACAAAAAAAATTTTAGCCCTTTTATATAAACAATGTTTACAGATTATAAAACTTTACCCAATTAAAAAAAATCAGAATTTAAGTCAAAAAAAAAAACTCAACAAACCAAATTTTGTAATATATTTAAAATGAATTTATTTAGTCAATGGATGGAAATTTAAAATTTTATATAATGATATATTATAATATATATATATACATAAACGTGTATATGTATGTAAATACACATATATATATACATTAAATATAAAAAATAAAGATATTGAAAAATAAATGTATTACTCGTTTTAATTAAATAAACCTAACGAAAAAAGTAAGTAATAAATGCCAAAAAAATCATAGGTTGTGATCCTTACTCCTATAGGTGACTGAAGACAATATTTTAAAACTATTAAGTATAAAAAAGAAACATTGAAATCGGAAATAGGGCCTCTACATCGGAGTCGAACTTTAGCTGATTTGACTTTTAATAAAGTTGGGTCAAACGAATGGTTTGTATTGTAGCACTTTTCCCTTCAACAAGTGAAAATTCTGCTTTTAAATACAGTCTATGTATACCTATCACACTATTAAAATTATTTTCATTCATATATAAAAAAATGCAATCCTATTTCTTGGATTGCATATATTTAGGATGAACGGTTTATGCAGTTTTTGAAATAAAGCAAAAATTAATATAAAGTGGGGTTAACATAATGCTCGATTTTTAGGGTTAATTGTGCGAGTTAAGAAAAATAATTATAATTTTTAATGTCATGAAAATTACCGTTAGATTTTTGCGTTTATAAGAATTTGAAAAAGCTTACGGAAATGTAAGGTGTCAAAAATTCAAATTTCAAGGGGCGATAAGTTGAGAGGGGGTGGAGATGGAAAAAACTTTTCTTCTAACGAAATAAATTATTTATTAGTCTTTAAAAGCTGTTAAAATTTCAAGCTCCTACAACCTGAGGCCTAGAAGAACGACATCAAAAATTTGGAAAAAACGGACTTTAGATAACGGTAAATTTGAATGGCCATTTTGTTTTTCTAAAGTTTAACTATAGTATACCGTGCTAGGGGAAGCAAGCCGCTGCCTTTTTGCGTTTGCAAAATTTCAAAAATGCTTATGGTTTCATTGCAGCAAATAGTTAAAAAAGGCCATTTTTAGGATTTTGGAGGGGTATAATTTCTAGAGGGGGGGAGATAGGTAAAAATTTTGTTCAGCTTTCTATCTTCAAGGGTGTAGAAGTTTTGTAAACAAAAAAAGTGTCCACGGACGGACGGACGGACAGAGTGAAACTAATAAGTATTTTTTTTCAAAAAATTTTTGAAAAAGTGCTAAAAATCGATCACGAAAGATCACGCTATTGCCTCAGTTGAAAATTTATAATTTACTTGAGTCACAGACATATCTATGAAAAGATAAAGTTTGTTCAAACCAAAGCTTTTTAATGTAGCACTTTTCCCTTCAACAAGTGAAGGTACAATACTTTTAAAAACAATCTATGTACCGTATTATAAAAATTACTTTTGTTCATATATAAAATTATTTCCAGGACTGCATACATTTAGGATAAGGTTAAAAAAAAATTGGCGTTAACATAATGTTCGAATTTAAGAGTTAATCGCGTGAGTTAAGAAAAATAGTTATATTTTTTAATCGCATGACATTTACCTTTAGCTTTCTGTATAATATAGAAATTCTGAAAGCTTGGAGTTTCGAAAATATAATGAACCAAAAACTCAAATAACACAAATATTTAGAGACGATAACTTGCGAGGGGACGGAGATGGAAAAAAATTTTGTTCTAACGGTTTGTACAAGAATTTCAGACTCCCACAACATAGATGAAAAATTATATCAAAAATTGGCAAAAAGACAGGTAAAAATTTTCTTCTACAGAAATAAGGTTCTAGTGTAGATTGTAGATATGAAATTTCAGCTTTCTATCTTCTAGTCTGAGATGTTCACAGACAGTCGGATTTGAAAAAAGTACATAATGTATATAGAATTTTTCACTAAACTAATGTCTTTATATCTAACAAGTCCCAATACTCATTTTTTTTTATGAAATATTACGAATTTTTGGCTTCGTTGCTGGTTTTTTCTTTAAATGCCACTGATCGTGTCATATTTTTTATTATTTTTTTCTTTTTTTTACGTAAAAAAGAGTTTAATATTTTAAAAAATCTCAGGATATTATACACATTTTTTAAAAAGCTTTCCATTTAAATTCTATTGCACGAAAAAGAAAAAAAGGTAGGAGGAAAGAAAAAATGATAAAAAATTTCAAATTCATATTTCAGTATGGTTTCCCAATAAGGTAAGTTGAGTAGTGTCGGCTAACACAAATGTTAGTAAAAGTAATATAGGTTGACACATTTCAACAATTTGAATTGTCTCATTTCGATTATTTATACGTTACTTATAAAATTGTTTCAAATAATTTCAGTTAGTTTTTAAGTTATTAAAAATAAATATGTATCTACCTACTTCCAATAAATTTTTTTTTAAATAATTATTTTAAAACTATGTATTTCAAACATGTTATATTAAGTGCTTCAAAAATTTTGCTGTGCTCTTTTTTCATATTTTATTAGCAGGTAAACAAGAGCAATCTATTTATAAAATGTCCCTGCGTGTGTATGTATGACCTATCTTAATTCTAAACGGAAAGAATTTTAAAATACCTGAACAAAAATTTTAAAATACCTGTTATTTTACAGTCGGAATTTTTGTGTCATTTGGTAAAATACCATTTATTTCAAAAATAGAAAAATATTCAAATCCGGTCATAAAAATATATGATTGTTTTTTCCAAACATTTCAAATATTTTTTTTTCTTAGGTAATTGATATAAATGATAGTAAGTTTTTAATATTTTTTCAAATAAAAATAGAGGTAAAATTTTGAAGTTTATATAAAATTTGTATTTAAAAAATAATATTTGATTGTATTTTAGATATTATTTTCTAATTCCCTCTTCAAATTTTTTTCTTTACTATGTACTCGTATTTATATCAATATTTAATAATTATCTTTCATTAATTATATTTTCAACTTGACACCACAGTTACTCCCCATATCTTGAGTTAACTTACCCTATGAGAAAAAAAAGCTGTTCACTTAAAAATAATGAAATGCTTTCAGTAACATATAAAATGTTGAAGGCGAAGGATGTGCTTGTTGTTTTTCCGCCTTTTTTTAAATTTTAAAATAATTATCAATGAAAATATTAATATATTTTTTTGATTTTTCAAATATATTTTCTAAATTTTACCTGCTTTATAATAAGTGTGAATTTATTTTAATATTTCTTCTCAAAAAATAGCCACTTCGATTTAAAAAAACCCATATAAAATAAGGTCGTGCTTTCAAGTTTCTCTCTGAGCATTAGATATAAAAACATTAATTAAACTCTTTTTTACGTAAAAAAAAGAAAAAAATAATAAAAAATATGACACGATCAGTGGCATTTAAAGAAAAAACCAGCAACGAAGCCAAAAATTCGTAATATTTCGTAAAAAAAATTGAGTATTGGGACTCAAGTTTGCTACTTTTGTTTTATATTTGCTCCAAAAATGCATAATTCTTAAAAAATCTATGTACATACATATGTATGTATATAATTTTCATGTGTATACTGTATTAATTAAATTTATATGCTTCATTTTTATCCTACTTCGCTCCTAAGACGAGGGCTAGTGCATGATTATTGTAAATAATCTTGAACCAGTTTCTGACGTCGTTGAGTTTACTAAATAGGTGACTAATCTGCTTCTTGATTTATAAAAATTATACATGTATGTATGTATGTGAATTCATATGTGAATTATGCATATGTGAATTCTTTTTATATTGAATGTCCATATAATTTTTTAGATATATGTAAGATATGTGATTTTAGTTTTATTAGGAAATATTTTCACATTATTAGTAAGGCTAATTCACTAATTTACCTCAACTAGCGTATCTGTACCTTTAAAACATATAAATTTCTTTATATTTTTATTATGTTTTTTTTAATATAAGGGACAACTTGAGACGATACATTTTTTTATAATGATTACAAAATTTTAAAAGCATTATCATAATTATAAAACTTAAAATCAAATAATTACAAACTTAAATTCTAAATTTAAACCTAATAAAATTAACTTAATTTTAAGCCGTCTATTTTATACTAAAACATATACATACATACATACATATGTATGTATGTGGTACTAACTTTTTATTCAGTGTATTATAATTTTTTTTAAAAATAGGCAGAAACCATAATTTTTCCAAAAAAAAACAAATCATTCTTCAGAAATTTCATTTCGTCAAAAATTCATATGCAATTTTACAAATCCATTCACAAAAAAAACAGGGTCCAGGCCTTGATTTTTTGTAATGTCAAGATACCTATGTAATATTCTATGAAATTTAAGAAAGAATATCAAAACCTAAAAAGTGAAAACTTAACATAACGTGAGAGTTGTCAATTTTTGTAAACGAGTCTCGAATATAAAGAGTGACATTAAATATAGACGTTGTATTTTGACGTGTCTGAATAAAGTTTTATAATTTGCTTACCAATTTAACAAATCTGGAAATATTGAAAAAATTTAAAAGTTAACAAAGAAGTTTAAGTTGATTTTAAAGTTTGATTTTAAAATTTTTTTATAAAAGATTTTGTCACAAAAGAAACTTGAAAAATGTTAACACTCCGGGAAAGGCAAATAAGTAAGAAAATAACACTGGTTTATTTGTTTATAAAATAAAAATGGTCCTATTAATGTATGTACTATAATTACAGATGCGATAAAACAAATGCTAAACTTGAATCAACCACAAAGTAAGTCGATAATTGCAGAACCTGTCTGGAAAATATTAGTGTATGATAGAGTTGGCCAAGATATAATTTCGCCACTAGTTTCAATTAGAGAACTGAGAGAATTGGGTGTAACATTACATGTGTAAGTTGTTTTTCTATTTCTTTTTATTTGAGTAACTCAAGTGAAAAATTTCAGTCAGCTGCATTCTAATCGAGATTCAGTGCCGGATGTTCCAGCCATTTATTTTTGTGCGCCTACCAATGAAAATTTAGACAGAATACATCAAGATTTTCAAAATGGATTGTATGATATATATCATTTGAACTTTATATCGCCTATTCCTAGACAGAAAATTGAGGATTTGGCAGCAGCTGCTTTGCAAGCTGGTTGTGTTGCTAATGTTCATCGTGTATTTGATCAATACGTAAATTTTATTTCATTAGAAGATGATTTTTTCATTTTAAAGCATCAAAATAGTGATGATATTTCATACTACTCCATTAATCGGGCGAACACTAAAGATGAAGAAGTGGAAGCAATAATGGACAAAATAGTGGACAGTTTATTTTCCGTATTTGTCACATTGGGTAATGTTCCAATCATAAGATGTCCAAGAAATTCCGCTTCGGAAATGGTTGCAAGAAAATTGGAAAAGAAATTAAGAGAAAACCTTTGGGATGCAAGAAATAATTTATTTCATATGGATGCTGGACAGGTTGGTGGATTATTTAGTTTCCAAAGACCCGTGCTTCTAATAGTAGATAGAAATATGGATTTAGCAACACCTTTGCATCACACATGGTCATATCAAGCACTGGCACACGATGTACTTGAGTTGAATTTGAATAGAGTTTTCATCGATGAAGATGCTGCATCAGAAAAGACTGGAGCCAAGAAAAAAGCGAAGGCTTGTGACTTAGACAATAATGATAAATTTTGGATGACACACAAAGGTAATTAAAATGTACTTGTTTTATACTATACGTTTTTTGGTTGATTTCAAAACTTATTTTAGGTAGTCCTTTTCCAACTGTCGCTGAAGCTATTCAAGAAGAGTTGGAAGAATATAAAGCATCTGAAGAGGAAATCAAAAAAATGAAATCATCAATGGGAATTGATGGAGAAACTGAAGTAGCATTTTCAATGGTTAATGATACAACAGCTAGATTAACCAGCGCTGTGAACTCTTTGCCACAGTTGATGGAAAAGAAACGACTTATAGATATGCATACAAAAATTGCTACATCGATTTTAAATTATATCAAAGCAAGACGATTAGATTCATTTTTTGAGGTAGAGGAAAAAATTATGTCCAAATCAACATTAGATAAGCCAATATTAGAATTACTCAAGGATTCTGAGTTTGGTAAACCAGAAGACAAAATGCGTTTATATATAATTTATTACATCTGTTCTCAAAATGTACCCGAATTTGAATTTGAAAGAATGAAGGAAGCTTTACAAGAAGCGGGATGCGATCCTACGCCGTTAGCGTATGTTCAACGTTGGAAAAGTATTATGAAAGGGTCTTTAATAAATCAACAAATTAATCCTTACGAAGGAAGTGGAACCAAAACTGTTTCAATGTTTTCCAAATTAGTGTCACAGGGTTCATCATTTGTCATGGAAGGTGTAAAGAATTTAGTAGTAAAGAGACATGTAAGAAATTGTTAAACTTAAAAAGTTAAAAAATTCTTACATAAAGCTAAAATTTTAATTATATATTACAGAATTTACCAGTTACAAAGATAACTGAACAGGTAATGGAATGTCGAATTGGGGGTGAAATTGATGATTACCTGTATTTTGATCCAAAACTATTAAAAGGTGGCGATGTTCTCCCGAAAAGTCGTGCTCCTTTCCAAGATGCGGTAGTTTTTGTTGTTGGTGGAGGAAATTATATTGAATATCAAAATTTAGTGGACTTTATTAAACAAAAACAAACCGCAAATGCAACTAGAAGAATAATATATGGTGCATCAACCTTGAATAATTCAAAACAATTTCTAAAAGAACTGTCGTTACTAGGTAAAGAAATTCAAGGTTCTGCTTTGACTTAATTTGAATATTGAAATTGAACGAATATTTTTTGTTACTAATATTTATGGTTCTTGGAGTTTAAAAAAAGGTAAAATAATGTTTTCAATTACATTTCTATATAAAGCTTTATTATAATAGAATAAAAGTTGTATTAATACCACTATAAAAAAATTTATATAATTTTTCTTTTTAAAAAATATCAGAATTTTGTTTCGAAATTCAAAAATAAAAAGAAAATATAAAATGTAAACTGTTTTTATGAATCTGGTGTAAAATTGCTATATGAAAAATTATTTTTCCATGTCTCAATATTTTTGATATAAATTTATTAAGAAATAAAATTTATGAATAATTTCATATTTTGCTTGATGTCTGGGATATAGAAAGGTAAATTGTAGACTAACTGATATATTATATGTGTGGCTAACAAGCTCAATATTTTTATATCAAATTTTGTTTACGCGTGTCCAGTAATATATTACATATGTACGTTAAAAATTTTAATGTAATGGCTGCACTGGTTCGGGTAGCTGCCGTACAACTCCAAAAGCTAATTTTAAAGCCAAATATGGAACAATAATAAGGATCTACAGAAACTATAACTATTTTACTTTTCAGATCTTGAATATTTTTGAACCATCTAAAAAATATCTTTAAAAATTCTTAAAAAATTTAAGCATGTTCGATTTTCAGACATGTTTATATTGTAATAAAATTTTTTCGAACAGTCTAAGTTTGAAGATTTCGTAATTTTGATTCATAGAATATGCTTTATGTTTATGATCAAACTCAGAACTGAATTCTCGAAAATCCCCTTATTTTGAGGTTTAAATGTTGCGTCCCGTAAATTATTATGAAATACGAAAATAATATTATTATTTCTTAATAGGTTTCCTTTCAAAAGCTCAATGTTGGTTAAAAGTTTCCTATTGTGATTTGATTGAAAACTTTACCATATCACTTCGAATAAAAGTGGTTTCGTATTTTACAAATTTTTCTTTAAAAAATCTTTGATCAATAGCGTTTCAACATCAGCATCGAAATATTTTCCTATAATAATTTTTATATTTCTTCTAGCAAACATATGTTCAAGATTTCTATTAAGTCTTAAAATAACACTAATTTAATATAAACTGATATTATCTAATAGAGCCTTTTTGTGTATGATTTTCATTTATCTGGTGTAATTAACAATTATCTTATGACCAGACCATTTTGCCTATTCAAGTTATATAAACAAAAGGTTACCTTTAATTAAGGTAATTTGTCATTTATAAATTAAAAATCAAATTATTGATTTCACATTTTTTATTACAAAAAGGTCAATTTTGTCATCTCCAAAAAACAAACTTTTAAATGTAATTTGAGTAGCCGCGTTTACAGAAAAGGTAAACCATATATAAAAAAGGACTGATAAATAGAGTTAGACGTCTAATACATTATGTAGTTTAAATAAATATAATATACTTATTAAGAAATATTTATGTAGATTGTATATTAATATAATTTAATGTGCGGTAAATCAACCATGTTTTCATTCATCTAACCATAATCAGTCAGGCAGTCAGTTATGATCGTTTATTATAAATGTTGATAAGTTCTTTGCTTAAATATAGCAGCTTGTGTATTTTCTACATATAATTTATGCATTTGTATTATTATGATGTATATTGATTTGGAATTTAGTAGCATATAAGAATATATATTTTGTGTTGCAGCATAATATTACAATTATGCATTCACACTAATGTACATTTTAATATGCGTATGGTAAAGAACTTTTAATAGTACATGTGTTTTTTTTTGCTTGCCAAAGATATTTGTATACTGTTATTTTTATGGAATTCCGTTTTAGTTATGAAAGAGATTGAAAGGTTACCAACATAGTGGGTTAAGAGTATATTTTTATATAATATATGTATGTATATAGTTAAGTGCCATGCAATATAATGCGAGATTTTAAATATTAAAGTTTGCAGAAGCGTAAATTAAGATTTTATTGATTAATTTAATATTAATATAATATTTACTAATAATTTAGGAACTACAATATGTATATATGTGCTTATACAGATTTGTTTCACATTCTTTACATTTTGTATTTTTCAAAACTATGTTTATAAAATATGCATATGTACATATGTATTTAAGTATGTATGCATACATTTTTATATATATCTACAAATGTATGCACAGCCTTAAATATGTCTGGAATTAGTGAAAACAGAAAAAGCTAGAAGTACTTTATATCAACCTCAAAAGAAATGTGGTTTTGCATAAAATATTTCAGATGAAAAGCAATTGAGAAGAGTCTTAGTTCAGTTATGGATTTATAAATAAATAGTTTATTTTTACCTTTATGAGATTATATTTTGTGTCAATAATGAATTTTCATAATATTGCAGTTAAGAATGAAGTAAATCAAATAATTTATATTTTGTTTTAAAAATATAGAAATAGTTATGGCTCATTAATCAAAGTTATTTTAATTAACTACATAATCTAAGTTGTTATAAATTAATTATAGGAGAAAGCGATGATATTTGAAGCATAAAAGTAATTATATTAAACAATACAAGTAAAGTTTTTTTAACAAGAATGTTTTTAGCACTTTTCAAAACCCTCTTCAAATAAATTCATGCTAAACTGATAGTTCTGAATTGAATTTGCAGATGCTTATATTAACAAGCATTTTTATATATCTTATACTAAGTTCATTTTGTTGTATGCTTGTAAAATTTGACCATCATATTGTGCTGTCGATAATTCTCGCATCGAAGTAGTTGTGAAACGATTTGAGCTTTTTCGTTTATAAGTTCTGTGTTGGCTTCATTTTTACAGGTTGCACCTTTATAAAAATAGACGGATCGATTTCAAGTCATTGAGTAATGGCTTCTGGTTTAATTGTTTTAGGGTAAGTAATAGAAACTTGAGGTACGTTGAATTTTTTTGTTCGTTATATTTATACCAATTATGGAAAAAATAAAATGTTAATGAGAAGTCACCGGTATATAAATTCTAATTCTTTGTATTTAAATTCTGCTTTAGTAAGTAAGTTCTTAGTGCGAGACTTTCTAGAAATTTAAATGTATCGTCAGTTTATAGGACTTATATTAGTTTTTCTTTTGAGTACTTTTAGCGTACTTTTATTTTAAATTTTTTATTTGAGTACTATAGAGTGATAATAGTCACCATTTATTTATCTATGGCCATTATTTATTTATTTTTACTATTCCTCTTCTGATTATTGGTTCAAATAAGAAATTAAAAAAGGTACAAATTTTTAGTAAGAATTCAGTTTTCGAACTCTGATATGCACACCTAGAACACAAATACAAAATTTCAAAAAAGTTGTCAAAACAAAAAATCTAGATAAAAGCTCCACTTGCTGATGCTTTGTTTCGCTAAAAATCTTTATTTCATGGAAATCTTTCATTATTCTCTTGAAAATGAGCAAAAGTATAAAATTAGTTTGTAGTTGCGTTAGAGTTTTTGAAAACTATATTCTCCGGAAACAAATGAGTTGATCAAATTCCTAAAGCAAACTCAAGTAAAAATTTCCAATAAATCCAGTTATACAGACCTTAATTTAGAATTTGTTATTTCAGTTATTTTAACCTATAATTAATAAATAACTAGTCTTCGAAATATGAAATTTGCGCAATCACAATATTCGTTCTATTATTTTACGCAGAAAAAGTTAAAATGCCATACAAATAATAAAAAATAAAATAAAGTTCATAAAATTGTGTAAACTTTGGTGACTAAAAATCAATAAAAATCAAAAATAGTGACAATTTTTTGAGTTTCTGCAGTCTTTCTACAAGATTTTTGTAGTATATTTCCTTTACTGTAAAAGGTTTTTAACGATAAAGGACGTAAATTAAAGCTTAAGAAGCTGAGCAAAAATCTGTAAAAGAATTTAATGTTTCCAAAAATTTCATACGAAATTATCGGGGTAAAGAAAAAGGAAAAAATACAAAATGGAAAAAAGTGAAAAAAAGTTTCAAAAGTTCGAATGTTTGGGTTTCCAAAAGTCCATAAAATACGAAAAACTGTAAATCTTGATTTGAAGTCCTTTACTAGTACCATCAAAAACAGTATCTTGGAACCGCCTATATTTTACAGAACGGAAGTTATAAGCAAAAAAACTTGGGCAAGTAGAAATTACGTGAAAATTCATTAAAATCCCTCTATCACGGAAACCCTTGAGATTTTGCACTTACTCCGGAATAAAAGTTTTACCCATTTTTAATCCTATACTCAATATGTACCCCTAATGGTACATATTGTGGTACACCTTTCCGAATCACCCTATGTAAGTATAAGGCTTTCCGATACAGTATAATAATTTCAATTATGTTTACTCTTAATTTTAGTAGACATAGTGGAATTGCCAAACAATAAATAACGACAAACAGAAAACTATACATTACACTTGAAAAGATTGCCATTGAGTTTACGAACATTGAACAAAGTTTAAAACTTGGGTAATCCAAAAATTAAATTGCACTGAAATATTAAAGAAAATCTTCAAAAACAATAATTCACGATAAATATGTAGGTAAAAGTGTTCATAAAGAAAATTGAACACATTGAACAAAAGAAGGAGTTACACTTTGCTTCCGCCATTTCATATTATCTTCAATATTGTAAAATTGCAAATTAATTACATAAATTATAAATTTTTTACATTTTTTCAATTGTTTGAAGTATAAAAGCTCTAATATTCTAGCATTAAAAAAAAAACAAAAAAAAAATCAAATATTTAAAATATTTATGTAATTGAGAAAATTTTGAAGTAGAATTGTTAAAAAAAAACAACAAAAGTTGAAAAATTCTTTAAAAATAAATAAGCGATAATAATAAGGTACTTTATAAAGTATAGAACGTTTCAAGAGATTGCTGAATCTGGAGAAGAAAATTAACAAAGCATTGGATCTTGTTAATATTTTTTTTTTATTTTTTTTTTTGAAAAAATAAGCGAAAAGTGAAAAAAATTAAAAAAGAATGAAAATAACGCAAGGTATAAGGAAAAAGAAAAACACTAAACAGGCCTGAATTGTAACGTGGGACACAAAATTATTTTCAACTTGGGCGGTAAAAATCCCACAGAATTTCGTGAGCGCGATTCATAAGTCTTCACGTTTACTATATCACAAATGCATAGACATTTATATATATACATATATATATATTATGCACTTATTACAAATTTCGTAAA